ATCCCTTATAAATTAGCCAGTCATAAATATTTTGTTATATCAGCACCGACTTAGACAATAATATTATATAGTTAAAATTTTGTTGAAATAGCGCAATTCCCACATTTGACCTATAGCTTAGGACTTTTTGGTCCATAAAAAACAAATGGACAAAAAACATAAAAGAAAACTTTTTTGCCAGGCACTATTGATTCACAACTGTAACCCTAGCTACTCAGGAGGTTAATATCTGGTGATTTTGGTTTGAAGCCAGCATAGACAGAAAAGACTTATCTCCAGATGGCTACCAAAAATCCAGAAATAGAGCTGTGACTCAAATGGTATAGCTCTAGCCTTGAGCACAAAAGCTCAGTGACAGTGTCCAAACTCTGAGTTCAAGCCCCAGAGCTGGCCCAATTTTTTTTTTAAGTTTGACAGGTAATATCTTAACTAATTTACTGTTTATTCCAAATAACAAAATATAAATTCCTTTATAGTTACATTTATATTTAAAAGGTCTTAAAACAATAAACTTGTTTACCAAGATAAATCACTGCATATTTATTATTTCTAAGCCACAAAAATTAACAGGCTATTGGCTACAAAATTTCTTTTCATTTCATATACTCATATAATGGTATAAAAACTCACCACGTGAGAAATGCTGATTCTATTTTTAATTAGGTATCAAACCATGTTTAAGTCATAAAAAAAATGCCTTTAAATGTCATTAAAGAGCAATGAATTTTCTTTGCTTCATATGCGTTTGATAAGCTAATTAAAAGACTAAAAATAAAAACACAACAAATGACAAAATGCAGACACCATGGAAAGGTGGTAAAAGCGCTTCTCAAAGGTGACTGTAGCAAATTGGCCAGAATGTGTTCTGCCTGCAAAGAGCTTCAGTCACAGGATTTGAGTTTATAAGAGGAGAGTATGTTTAAAGAAATTAAATGTAGTAGCAACGTACTGGTCTTCAAGACTTTTCTAGTATGTTAGAGTAGAGAAGAGAAATCTTAGCTGTTCAAGAGGCTGAGATCTGAGGATCACAGTTTGAAGCCTTCCGGGAAAGGAAAGTGCCACTTACCACCAGAAAACCAGAAGTGGTGCTATGGCTCAAAGTGATAGAATGCTAGCCTTGAGCTGAAAAAGCTCAAGGACAGTCCCCAGGCCCTGGAGATCATGCCCCACAACTGACCAAAAAAAAAAAAAAAAAAGATTAGCTATGGCAAAGAGTTTAGAAAAATAACTGTTTACCATGCTAAGAGCAAGTTTAGAAAAAGTGTGAAGAGACGAAGTATCACCCCTTGGCAGACAGCAGAATACCTATCCTTACTTGTGGGGGATGGGGACAAGGAAGGACAGGAGTGGTAATAACCAGATCTAGGAAGAAAAAACTGAATATGGAAAGCTTCCTGACAAAAACCCACCACAAACAAGACATAATATAACTTGGAAAAATAGGAGTGAATGCTTCTTCTCTCTCTCTAATCTCCTCTTACTTATTTTTTTTAACATCCTTGTTCTTTTGTAGCTTCCCTGTCTTCATTGTGTTGTCAGGCAGGCTTTTGTTTATCATCTTATTCTGCCATCTGCATGCTAGATAGGCCACAATTCCCTGCCAGCCTTTCTTCTAACCCTGTATCAATAATACATGCATATAATTCAGCACTCAATATAGGGAGGCAGGAGGATCTTGAGTGTGAGATCTTGAGTGTGAGATTGTCTTTAAAAAAATATCCTCTCTCTGGGCGTCAGTGGCTCATGCCTGTAATCCAAGCCATTCAGTAGGCTAAGATTCTAGGATGGCCATTCAAAGCCAGCCCTGGGCAGAAAAGTCTATGAGACTCCTATCTCCAGTTAAATCACAGAAAAAGCCTGGAATGATGCTATGGTAGAGAGTTAGCCTTGAGCAAAAGGAGCTTAGGGAAGAGCCCAGGCCCAGAGTTCATGCCCCCAAGCAGGCAAAAAAACAAATGAAATAACAAACAAACAACAAAACCCACCTCTCAAAAAAGCAAATTCATTAAATATATTAAAATAAAATATAGCATAGTGATTGAATGAAGGTTTAACCGAGGCATGATTTAGGTCATCAGACTTATCTGTTGAGTCCCACACTTTTTAAATAAATCTGAAAGATTTAATCAGAAATATGAAAATTACTTTAGATAACAGTCGGTCTTCTTAATGATTGTATATTAAACCAATGGACTGAAATGCTTCTGCATGAGAACCGGCTTACCGTCATGATTTCCCAAGCCCTCTGGGGTTCAGTTTGAGTTCTGTGAAATGGAATGAAAGGAGATGGGAAGAGAACTTCTTGTATGATTTTAATAATCTTTGAAATTAGAAATAGATATTCTCTGACAAATAGCTTAACCTCAATTTTCAGTTGAAGTCATATTGCCGTGTAGGATTTCAAACAAAATAAGATATTACAGGAAAAAGAGATTTTTGTATATGCAATATTATCCCATTATCCTTACGCAGTACCCATAACTTGTTTCTAATTTAAAAACTTACATTCCAGAACGATAATGGATACTGAAAAATAATGAGGATAAAAATTAAGTTTCTTAAGATTTCTATTGCATTTAAGAACTTTCCCCCCCTAAACTGTCTTAAAAGTCTTTAAGTCTATCCAGCATCAAATGCTAAGATTTTTTGTCAACCAACATAACTGGTTGTTCATAGTTTATTATTAGAAAAAAAATCAGAAAAAAAGTTTGTACCTATTAATAGGTAGCAGCTAGTCATGAACAATGGGGAAATGGAAAGAGAACTTAAAATGGGAAAAGGATCACAAACTCTCTAAGAGATGATAGTAAGTAAACTTTCCAACCAGCCTAGAAAGCCCACTAAGGCCAGGAAATATCACAAGATGTTTTTTCTTTGAGTATTCTACCCACCTGAGGAGTAATGAAAGGCTTCATTCCAGCCTAAGGAGGGTTAGTCCGCAGTTCCTGCAACAATCAATTGTACCTTACCCACTTAGGTCAGTAAACCATGCCCTAAAGGTTAAATGTAATAGAGTACAACCTCCCCTACACCGGACAGTAGTTCTGTCCGGAGGGCTGGTGCTACAGAGGAACTTACGCCAAGACTTTCATACTTCAGCAAGGCAAGAAGCATTACCATTCTCAACCTAGAGATGATCTGCTTTTTGTCTATTGAAAGTATGTTCCTTTCTGGTAAACTTTTCTCTCACATTTACTGTGCTTTATATCTTGTCTGAAGTTTCTCACCTAGGTTAACTTTCCAGTAGTTTAACATGATGAATTGAAGAGGTCATTAATTTTTATTATAGTATTTGTATCATTATATTGCAAAGTTACATAGATACCATTCTATTATTATTAATGCTTGTGGTTTCAGATATTCAAATAAATGATAAATGAAATGATTTATGCTAAAAATATGTCTATCCATCTGAATATATTTCTGCCAACACTACTGTTAGTGTCCTTCACAAATTCTATTCTTGTTTCCTTTTTACTAGCTTTTTTCGATCAAGGCTGGCAATATGTCACTTGAGCCACACCTCCACTTCCTTTTTTTAAAAAAAAATTATTGTAAAGATACTTTACAGAGGGGTTACAGTTACATGAGCAAGGTAATGAATCCATTTCCTACTGGAACATTGTTATACCCTCCTTTATTTTTCCCCTATCATCCTTTTCCTCCCCACCTTCCCAACTCCTCTCTCCCCTCTTCCACCACCCTACCTTGCCCTGCCCTGCCCACAAATTTGTAAAATTCATTTTCAACATCCTGTCTTGTACATCTCATCATTACAATGGGTCATCCTGTATCCTTATTTCAGCATGTTGGTATTTCCCTTCCCCTCCCCAAATTAGAAAAATATATATACAAGATGCAGGACACTGGAATCAAATACAGTGACAACAGGGGTTGTACCATGGGGGAAGAACATACAAAGAAACAAAAATAAATCACACAAAAAAATCACATAGTACATTATAAGTACATTAAAAAGAACAGCAAAAAAGACAAAACTTCTTGGGTCCCTATCTTGGGGTTCATTTCGCTTAGAATCAGATTAAATGGTCATATGTACATAGCTTTTGGCCTTACTAATTTGTAAAAGCTCAGTTTTGTTTGTGCAACACTATTCCAGAGGCTTTTCTTTTTTTATTCTTTCAGTTTACAAAGTTCTCTCCTGAGTGATTAAGGCTGAACTTTTCTTGAAATACTTTTGCTTTCCTCTATTTTTCTTCCTGCTCTCAGCATGAATATTCGGCTAGAAATAACCAACTCTCTTATGTTTGTGAGTCACTATCAAAAAACAAATCGTTTAAATAGGGATGCAGGTAAACCCATTGCAACAATGAGATGTACAAGTCATTATGTCGAAAAACGAACTTTACAACTTTGGTGGAAGGGGCGAGGTTGGAAGGGGAAACAAAGGAGGAGGCAACAATGTTTGATAAGAAATGTACTCATTACCTTGTAATTGTAACCCCTCTGTATGGTATTTTCACAATAAAAAAAGAAAGAAAGAAAAAAGAGACTGGCCACCAAATGCTTAGCTGTCCCAGTTGAAAGAGGAACCAAAGAAGAGTCATATCCACTCTCTTAACCCACGGAAATTTTATGTAGGAAAATATATCCCTATTTATATTTACTATGCTACATGGGTATTTTGTTATTATCAGCTGAGTATAATTTTAACATTACTACTTTAAACATATATGTATATCTTATGTAATATCTAACATTATATATATATTAGATAAAGGTAAAAAACTAATTAAGTGTAAATTATCAAGTAGGCTGTCTCTATGGACAATTGGAACTCAGTCTTGCTAGGAAATTAGACTGAGTTGTCCTACTTTTGATGCAGAACCACAGCAAATAGGTGTTAATTCCAGGTTCTTTCGTTTTCCGTTTACGTAAGGGTGGATTCTACCTATGAAGGGAAAACTTGGGTATAAAAACAAACAAAAATCAAACCAAGCTTACTGGCATACCTGTAGTCTCAGTTACTCTGGAGGCAGTCACTCTCCTTTGTATGGAACAGTAGCTTTTAGATTGGGTTTTGCCTGAGTGGATTCACTTTCTGAAACAACATTTCGTCCATTTTGAGTGTGAATGCTGAGGCAAAATGATTCCACATCCTGTTGGTAAGATAGGATAAACAGCTGAGGACACAAAAAATTATATTGCTTTTAACACATACTAAAATGACTAAACTCAGAAGTTAAAACCAGAAAGTACCATGATCTGAAAAAGCAAACAAATTCCCCTCATGTGCCTCTTTTTTAATGTTAAGTCATAAGATCAGGAGGTATTGTAAAGCTGCTTCCTTCTTTAAAATGGTAAAAATCTGGCAACTCTTCATGAATGGGTAGAGACAAAAAGAATAAAAGGCACACTGGGGAAGGGTGGGAAGTACCATGGTTGCTTAGGTTTTAGATAGGTCTCATTTAGCTTACTCACCCAAAACTATTGTCTAAAGATTAGAAGTTTCTAGATGACATGCTCATGTGTACATATTCTCTCAGCTCAGAAAGTATTAAGAGTTACACATACAATCTCCATCTTGATAGTTTAACTTCTATTTCCTTCATGAGGAGCAACACGTTTTTCTATGCCATTTCTCTCTACTCTAACCTTGTGCTAAAATAAATCGTTGCTGAAACTGTCTACCTTATGAGACTTTTTTGTCAGGCATCCTAAAATGTTTTTCATAAGTGGATCTCAAGGACCTGTGGATTTTTGTTTCATAGACCTTAAAAAGAGAAGGAAGCTTTTTAATCATTTTCCAGTGACTTTTGTATCCAATCCAGACTGACACGTCACTTCTTAGGTAAATAAGAGTATCACCTAATCACACTAAATCAGGAAAACATAGACTTGTTAGTGTAACAAGCACTTTAAAGAAAAAGAAACAGGCCTAAGAACCTATTAAACACATCAGACACAGAACAGTACAACCCCTCATCTAGAGGGATGTTTAACATTTTACATTTACATTATACCAAAAAGTTTCAATTCAGCAAATCAGTTAATAAGTACAATGCATCTTGATTAATTTCACCTCTTTCATTATTCTCTGCCATCTTTCCCAGCCCCATCCATACCCTCAAGTTAACTGGCTCCATCTTCACAGCAGTATATCAAATATAATGACTGTATTTGGCACTGGTAGTGGTGTTTGACGTCAGTACTGAAGCTGTCTGGCTCAGCTCACTTGACTTTGTGATTCATAGCTGGAGCTCTCCTACTTGAGTCATACCTCCAGACTGCTTTTCTATAGCCTGCTTTTTGCTGGTAATTAGAGTCTTTAAGGACTTTGCTGGCCACGCTGGCATTGAACCTTCTGCAATCCTCCATCACTTACTTTCAGATGTTAAGGATAGGGAGACATAAAGGGGTCATCTATATTTGTGCTCTCCATTGACATATTAAGAAGATGTAAGATATTCATGAAAGGGTAGAGAGACAGAAAATTAAAAGGTGGGTTTGACAAAGAGAAATCCTAAAACGTACTTACTGTCCCTGTGTTTTGAGTAGGTGTAGATAAGATTTCAATATTTTAAAATAATATATTGCACCCATCTTAGTCATCATGGAAAATTAGCTTCAGTCAATAGGGGAGCTAGCCAACTTTAGCCCAGACTCAGAAATTATAAAAACCCTAGGAAAGAACAGATCTCATGAGTAATTTCTCTCATTTCCTATGTGAGAAACAGAATTTCTCTCTCTCTCTCCTTCTCTGCCCCCCTCCTCTCCTCTCCCTCTGTCTTTCCAACTTCTCCTTTCTTTATCCTGTTAAACAAAAATAAATATTGCTAAAAACTTCCAGCTTAAGAATCTTCTGTTTTGTGAGACCTCTTAATGCTTTTTAGGTATGGCTCTCAAGTTCCTGGGTTTGTGCATGAAAACTGGAAAGCTTAAAGGAGCCCTGCACCCTTCAACTATGACAATTAAGAGACAATACTAAAATGTCCTCTCTTCACTTCTTTTCAGTCAGAACATTTACCTTAGAAAACTTGTAAGTGTAAATATTGCGTCTATCTTTTTGGAGTATATATGAATTTTTCCAGGCATTTGTCCACTTTAAGATTGAGGCATGTCTTTCTGTAGATCTTAGGGGATATGTCTTTGAAATATAATTGAGTTTGTTCCTTGTAGTGCATCAAGCTCCCAGTTCTTGGAGTCAATAGAAATGTAACAGTAGTGTACTCCTAGCTCAAGATGTGAACTACTTCATTACAAAGATGAAAGAGGTTTGACTTTTCTCTGAATATTGCCAATAAGCATATATAGGCACTCAAGGAACTTACCAGTTAAAGAGAGGATGAGCTATTGATGACATATGATGCTGTTAAAACATCTTTGGAAGACACAAAATAGCTTTTCCTTTGCAAATAGAGCTCAACTTTTTGTTTGTTTTGTTTTGCTGTCTCACTACATAGCCCAGGATGACCGGGAATTCTTGGTTCTCCTGCCTCAATTCATAAGTACTTACTGACTAGGATTACATGAATCTATCACTATGCTTAGCTATAAGATCATCTTTCTTTTTTCTTTCTTCTTTTCTTTCTTTCTTTCTTTCTTCTTTTCTTCCTTTCTTTCTTTCTTTCTTCCTTTCTTCCTTGTCAGTTGTGGGGCTTGAACTCAGGGCCTGGGCACTATCCCTAAGCCTCTTTGTGCTCAAGGCTAGTGCTCTTACCACTTGAGCCACTTTGGATTTTGAGTGGTTAATTGGAGAAAAGAGACTCCCAGGAACTTTTCTGACTGAGCTGGCCTCAAACCATGATCCTCAGATCTCAGCCTTCTGAATAGTTAGTATTACAGGTGTGCATTACTGGCACTGGCTTATAAGATCATCTTGAAAGTCTGTGAATATTTCCTTTGCAATTTCTACTTCCGGGTAACTTAAAAATGAAAAATTCAGTTATCTCTTATTGACAATGAACACATTATACAGAACAACTGCTGGAATTTAAACTATGTCCCATAAGGAATTTTCAAGTCACAATGAGAACATGATTCTTATGTAAAGTTAAATAATTTGGTCTTAGAATTTCCTTATGGCAAAAAATATGATACTCTAGTCAATTCTGTCAATGATGTCTTGACAGTTAACCCTCATTAAGCAACGGAGAATGCTACCTTTTATGGTAGTCTTTGGATCAGTAAAAGCTAATAGTGGAATCACTATTAAAGCTAGTTTTTAAATGAATATTAATAATTTTATAGGAAAGTATTAAAATTGCATGAAGAAGATGATCCCCTTGCATTACTAAAATCTAGATATTAAATTTTATTGTTTTAAATATCTTGCATCACTCTATGGTTTAAATAGAACTAAAGAACCTTTCTTGAATACGTCAAACATTTCTCATGTTGCTAGTGGTGTATGATGGTTACATGACAAGAAGGATAGATAAAATATAAGGTTTGGGGAAGGTAGCTATTTATGGTGCTTGAAGGATCAGAAGACTTAGCTGAAGGAAATATACTTGAGCTAGGACTGAAAGGGTAAATAGGAATTGGTCTGTGGTATTTCAAGCACTTCAGATAATTCAGTCTAGGAGAATTGTGGTGGACTTCCCAGGGGCGAAACAGGGTGGTGGATAATTCTGGTGATGAAAGACAGCCTAGAGATATGAGGATATAATCCTGGAGAAGACAGATTATGATAGGGTGGTTATACTACTGCAGAATCATGTTTTTCTTGTTTGTGTTATGCTCCCTGGGGGAGCCATGACAGCTGTCTGAATGTCAGCCTCCCATTGATTTCTAGGACTTACTGGAAAGTGTTTCTCTGTGTTTGGATATTAAACCCTAGAGGGAATGACATCTATAAATTCTTGACTTTGATCTCACTAATATTTCTACCATAGCTGATGTAAGAAATGCTTTTCTAAGGTTTTCTGAATTATAGGCCATTAATGGATAATCCCTGGTTTCTCTTTTACTCAGTTCATGATTTTAACATTATTTTTCCACAGAGGAAATGGTAGATTTATAAGCAATTATGTATTCTGTAATTATTGAATTATTTACCAAGAGGAAATAATTTACACTCGTATTGCCATAAAGGGGAGCTGCAACTAATGATAAGATGTAGTTAAGTTATTTGAGGTAAAAAAAAATTGTCCTGCAGAGGGTATAAAAAAGTAAAAGAGGAATCTCAGCCACTTTCAGAAGAGAAAAGATAAAAGAGGGTATTTTCTCCCCTTTTATAAGCAAAGAAAAGGATGGAAAGAATAGAGAGAGCAAAAGTAAAGAGAGGCAATGAGTTAATGGCAAGGCAAATTTTATATAGGGTAAAGGATGAACTATAGACCATATATGAGATTACTGTCTTAAGAAATAACATACACACTTAATCAAAGTTATTTTTCATTTTTTATTGTAAAGTTGATGTTCAAAAGGATTACAATTATGTAAACTAGGTAGTGAGTACATTTCTTTTTGAACAGTGTCACTTCTCTCATTTTCTTTCATTTTTTCTACTCCTGACCCCTGCCTCCACAACTTGTATGGTCATTAACTTAACCATTTCTGTGCTTCCCCTTACCCTCCCTAAATCACATAAACTTACATATAAGACAAAGGTACAGAAATAGAAAAAACAATGACAACTGGGAGAAAACAAAATAAAACACAAAACGTAAAAAAAAAAAAAAAAAAAAAAACCCTCTTGTTTCCATTTCTTGGCATTCATTTCAATAAGTATCATTTTATATGATCACATACACATCACTATTGAGCTCTGGTGATCCTCTCCTAAGAATATCTTCCTTTGGTCTCATTGTGTGAATGTTTATAGTCCTGTTTATCATGTCCAAGTGCAATTTTGTTTGTCTTTCCATTTCCTTAAAAATGGAACAATGTTATTCTTTCTGATGGAAACATAGAATTCCACTGTGTATATATACTATATTGTTTTGGTCTGTTCATCCATTGAGAGGCATCTGGGTTAATTCCATAACTTGGTTATGGAAAACAATTCTGCAATGAACATGATTGTGCTGGTGGTTTTAGTGTGGCCTAGTGTGGGTGGCTTTAGTGTGGGCTAAATGCCGATGTGTGGGATTGCTGAGTCACAGGGAAACTCTATGTTTAGTCTTTTGAGGAACCTCCACTGCTTTACAGAGTATTTGAACAGGTTCCCACCAGCAGTGTAGTAGCATTGCCTTTTGGCCATATCCCTACCAGCACCTGTAATTGTTAGTTTTCTTGATAATGGCCATTCTATCTGGGGTAAGATGAAATCTCAGTGTTGTTTTGATTTGTATTTCTTTTATGGCCAGAGATGTTGCACGTTTCTTCATGTGTCTATTGGTCATTCTTACTTCTTCTTCTGAGAAGTCTCTTTTTAAGTCTTTAGCCCATTTATTAATTGGGTTGTTGTTTGAGGGTTTATTTTTTTTTTTAGCTATAAGTATATTTTAGATCTGAGGCCCTTTTAATTGAAGTTATTGCTTACTAAATGCAATGTAATCAGTCACCAAAATTTATGCCCTTTGCAAATATTTTATGATTGGTGTATTTGTAGAAAGAGAGATGAAGTAATGTAAAGCTCAGGTTATTGTCATGTGCACATGAAGGAATGACAAAGAAAACCTTGTAACAAGAATTTGCACCAGGTAACTATTATTGGTTTGAATTCAGCTTGTGTAAATCCAATGGGATTTAGTGACACTAATTGGCCTAACAGCCATACAGCATTATATCACAGTTTGAAAATATTGCAAGGGTGATTACCATGCAAAAAAGATGCTACTTGCATGTAAAATTTAACTGATCTATGAAGGAAAATATTCAAAGCATAATAAAGGAAAAAAGTCAACAGAAGTTTTGTTCGTATTAGGAAGTATAGATTCAAACACAAAACTCTAAGTTTCCAAAAGTTTGATGAGGGTTTTGAAACCTACTCCTGCAGATGGGGCTGATACATACAGAACTCTTTCTGTGAAGTAGAAATTTATCTAGTAAATCAAGAGAACATCTGGGCAGACCCAGATGAAACAGAATGCCACAATCAGCTTATAATACAAGCCAATTCAAATGGAAAGAGGCAATTCTCAAAAAAGAAAACCCATTTTGAGAATAAAGAAACATACTCAAAACCTACAATTTATTCTTAATGATTCTTCATTTTTCATTTGCTTTGTAGCAGACTTTCACTCAGGGGCATGGATTGACAGACTATTTGTTAGTTCTTTAATTTTAGCTATGACTTTGGGGTTGTAATACTCAAACAGCACAATAAATCAGCAGGAACAAAGAACCTTTACAACTACAACATAGAATAGGAAAGAAAAGTAAGCTGAAAAATTCCCCATACAAGTATTCTTCATAATTGACAAAAAATATTTAGTTTGCCAAGTTCAGTAACGTTTGATTGTTGTTGTTTCGTTTTGTTTTGATTTGTTTTGCTGGTCCTGGGGCTTGAACTCAAGACCTGGGGTGCTGTCTTGGAGCTTTCTAATCAAGATTCCTGCTCTACCACTTGAATCACAGCTCCACTTCTGGCTTTTTTGGTAGTTAATTGGAGATAAGTGTCTCACAGGCTTTTCTGATCAGGCTGGCTTCGAACAGCAATGCTCAGGTCTCAGCCTTCCAAGTAGCTAGGATTTATAGGCCATGGACAGCCAGAGATTATGTTATTTATTTAGTTTTATTTATTTTTTAGAGAGAGACATTTGTTTATAATCTTCCCTGTTTTTCAAAAGTACTATTTCATACTTTCTGGATGAAGTGATACTCTAGACAACTTATGTACAATTAGAACAAATTGGGATTTGGTTTTGGAAATATTCATAGTTGCTATGCCCTCTGTATTAAAGAACAACATATCACTTTATTGATTTGGCATAAACCATTTAAATACCACATTGTGGCAATAGCCAATAATAATTTGAATTGGGGCTTCTTACAAAGTCTATAATTTTTGAGACACACTCAAGTCTATCAACCCCAAAACATGAATGTCAGTACTTGGTAGCCTCTTGGATTGCTGCTTTCCAATGTCAAAAGGAAAAAATTTACTTTTCAAGTTCTTAGCTGAGCACTGGTGATGCACTCTGATTCAGAGGATCAAAGATCAAACCCAGGGTAGGCAGAAAAATCTACAAAATTCTATCTCAAAAATAACTCTCAGTAACCATAACCCCTCTGTACAGTATCTTTACAATAAAAAATATTTAAAAATGACTCTCAAAGAGTTGAGTTGTAGACATGGTATAAGTAGTAGGGTACTCGTTAAGCAAGTAAGCCAAGCAAGCAAGATCCAGAGTCAAATCTGGATACCTGTAAAATAAATAAATAAACTTAATTGGTTTGTATTCAGAATTCTAGAATTGGGCAGCCCTTATCATCAAGTCAAGTCCAAAAAAACACTGAGAATGCAATGTGCTCAAATCACATTTTTGGAGAGAAATCAGAAGTTACAGTCAGACAGTGTAACTGCATACAGGTAGCATTTTGCTTTGAGCTAGCAGTCTAGGATTGACTGAAGCTCAGCTACTGTGATGAAAACTCAGCTATTTGCACTATAAGAGGTTGTATTTTGTTACCTAAAACTTAGTACACATGCAATCTGAGTCTTAAAACTTTATTTAATACCTCACATAAATGTTTTATAACTTGACCATTGATCTATGATTTTTGTATGCTGAAATAATGTAAATACTTTTTTGTAGTTAATAAGAAACCTGTAATTTCAACAACTAGAAGTGTGTGTCTGTGTCTGTGTGTATAATTTATATTATTTATAAAGTAATACATATAAAATAAATAAATAAATAATTGTCACAAAACATTTATTACTCTTTTGGGGGGTTCTTTATTTAAAAGCACAGTTAGATCTGAAAGAAGGTTCAAAGATTGGGGACTGGCTAAAGGGATTTGTGTTGCACAAATCACGTCTGGAGATTTCTTTTTTTTTTTTTTCTTTTTTTCTTGGGTCCGGTCGTGGGGCCTGAACTCTGGGCCTGGGTGCTGTCCCTCAGCTCTTCAGCTCAAAGCTAGCGCTCTACCACTTGAGCCACAGCGCCACTTCTGGCTTTTTTCTTTTTACTTATGTGGTGCTGAGGAATAGAACCCAGAGCCTCATGCATGCAAGGCAAGCGCTCTACCACTGAGCCACCTTCCCAGCACGTCCGGAGATTTCTTATCTCAGTGATTGCTGGCATTTATAGGAAGACATTAGTTTACATTAACTTTCTGTATCATGGACTTAATGTTACAGCTCAGCTAATCAATCTCAGTTCCTACATCCCACATAAGAATTCAAGCTAGACATGAATGTATTAAAAGTGAGATGAGAGTTCATAATGAAAGAAATACAGCAGAGAAAAGAGATTATGTGGCATGTTGCCCTCCGAAGATGCCATCTTCTCTGGTATAAATATTATCCTTAGGTTAAATACAGAGAAATAAAGGCAGGGAGTGAGAAGATAGGCATAATTAAAATTATCTCAAGTCACAGGCAGGTTCAGAGTTGACTTCAGGTAGTTTGATAGTTCATTGGTCAGGTAAGGCCTTCGTACAAAAATAGTCATTGATGTGTGTCAGGTAGTCCAGTGGTTCAAGATGGCTGCAAAGTGACTACTGGAGAAAATAGCTCAGGAGAATTAAGTCCCTTCCCAGGACTAGACAATGAGACAGAGTCAATATTCCAAATGTGGGAAAGGTTTCCTGTACTACATTTGACCTGTAGGGCATAGCTTACTGGCAAGTTAAACATCTGTTTTACAACTATTTTTTGACCTACCTTATGCTAGAATGAAGCCTATCATTCCTTAAGTGGATATATTAAAAAACTCATCTTGTGACAGTTTATGACTTTGGTGGTCACTTAAATTAGTCACCTGTAAATTACACTTTTACTCATTGATCCTGTGATCTTATCCTCAATTTTATGTTTCTTTTGGTTTTCCCATTACTCATGGCCTATGGCTACTACCTATCACCCACAGACCAAACCAAAATGGCTGCCATTCTGAAGTTTCACACCACCAAGGTCAAACCAAGATTTTTATCTGACCTTCCAATAAATCAACTTAGAGAGGAAGGAAGAAAGAAGGGAGGGAAAGAAAGAAGAAATCCTTCATGGGCCAGTATTAGTAGGCATAACTGATCCACTGTTTCTTCTTTTTGCTTTCTTCATCCCTTTCTGTCTACAAAGTCAGCCTCCTCTGCTGAGTCCATCAAAACTACTATTTCTGTCATTACAAAAAAAAAGCCAAATAAGACCTTTAAACTCCATTTGCTATAATTTGATCTTTTGAAGGGACCTTAGAGAAACAAACAATAATATGTTTTGCTTAATCAGATGGTCATTGGTCAGGCATGAGGTGTCAGTTAAGCTTTCCTGCTACTAACTGAAAGTAGAAATGCTGAGGAAAAAAAAACAGCTCTGAAACCATGTGCACTTGCCCAAATGATTTACTAAAACTACAAATAATCCAGGTCTAATCCTTGCCCACTCTCACAATATAAGTGGTCAGGGAAAGGTTGTGGAATGTGGAAGGGATAAAGACATTTTGCAATAATATCGCAGTTTCCTCATAATCTGTAATTAGTATATTGGTTATTGTTTAAACCTTTTTGTAGCTGTAACCAAAATACCTGACAGAACTAACTCAAAGGAGGAAAGGTTTATTTTAGCTTGTGGTTTCAGATGGTTAAGTCTACAGTTGCGTTATCTCATGGCCTTGAACAATGAAGAAGGATGAAGCAGAGGAGCTTCTTCAACTGTTTACCTTATGGTAGACAGGAAGCAGAGAAAGTGAGGAAAAATCTGGGGACCAGGTACAACCTTCAAAAGCACTCCCTCCCTTTTCTCCTTTCAGCCAAGTGTCATCTCCTAAAGTTTCCACCATCTCCAAGACAATGATACCAGCTGGAGAAGAAGTGTTCAAAACAAGAGCTAGTGGGGACATTTCATATTCAAACGCTAAGAATTAGTTTCTTCAGTTTTTCTTAGTTCTGTTTTTCTTTTTGGTATTTACAAGACAATTCAGATGCTTTTCAGCCTTGTGGATACTCTTATTAATAGTACTTGCACATGAATAAATTATAAAACTATATAGAGAAGAACCAGTGCATCTTTATGATCATCATTCATATTTTATTTTAGCAAGGAGAAAAATTCTAGCTCTTATGTGACTGTATTATTTTCTTTTCTGAAAGCTTTTGATCACATTTTGCTAGTCTCTAACCATGTTTGATGTTTCCTTTTGATAATCAGTTTCCCCATCATTATTCAACAATACCCATTCTGTTACCAGATGTGCTATATCTAAAGAGAATTGCTCTGCCTTTCATTAAAAGTGGGAAAGGATTTTTGTCTTTATCTTTAACACTTTTGAAGCAATATCACATTAAATATCAGGTGATGATAGGCATAATAGTATTCAAGGGAACCAAAATTGATTTCTGAGTTCTTATTTATTTGGAAATTGGTTATGATTCTACAGAATTCACCTCAATCTCTGGGGTAAAATACCTTTGTGTGGTATGTTAAAGAATAAATCCAGCTTCACAAGTAAAATGTGAACTCTCAAATGCAAAAGGTACATTCATATGAAAAGGACTGGGTAACTAGGGACTTGGCACCATTACCTCCCGTCTCCTGAATTGGGGTCTTCTGCTGCTGATTTATGTTATCTTGGGCCCCTGAAGGAGTACAAGCAAAGCTGGCATTCTTTAAAGATCACTCTGCAGGACCCAGAACCAAGCACCAAGTAGGCAGTGTGTTCAAATGCCTAATACCAGTCTAGGTGGCTTAAACATCTGAATATGCCTTCCTACAAGATAGTAAGTGATTTAGGAAACAGATCCAAAGGAATTACCCAGTAGGGCAGAAAGACAGGACTCAGGAAATAAAAATAGATAAATGAGTTGACATAAAGACTATAATGGGAAAATGTTTTATATTGCTAATTTAATTTCTAAACTCTTCCCAAAGGAATAAATACAAATAAAATCAGTGGTGACAATATTGAAATAAAGGATAATAAAAATAATTATTATCCAATAATAATAGTACATAGTTTGCATATAAAAATACATAGTTGGCACTCATTATGTGCCCATTTTTTTTAATATTTGATATTCCTTAATTTAATTTTGTAAACAATCTGATGTCTGATTAGTAGGTATGACATGGATCCATAGACACAAAGAACACAATAACTATTGCACACTATAAATGAGAAATAGACATCAAACATCTTGAGTTAAACTATAAAACACCAAATAAAAATAAAACAAAAAAGGGGCTGGGAAGGTGGCTCAGTGGTAGAGTGCTTGCCTTGTATGCATGAGGCCCTAGGTTCCATTCCTCAGCACCACATAAGCAAAAGGAAAAATAAAGCCGGAAGTGGCGCTGTGGCTCAAGTGGTAGAGCGCTACCCTTGAGTTGAAGAGCTGAGGAACAACGCCCAGGCCCAGAGTTCAAGCCCCATGATCAGACCCCCCAAAAAAACAAACAAAAAATAGCCACAATAAAAGACTGAAATTGCAATTAGATTGAAAACAGAATTTTTTTGAATAGACAATGGAATAATGGTGTGGATATGCAGAAAAAAAATACAAATTAAAATTAGATGGTCAGAATAAATATTTCCAAGTATGATGGAACTATATTCCTAATTCAGATGAAACCAGAATGGTTAACATCTATAGTTTCACTACAGGGACCTCAGAAAGAATGTTCTTGGGAGGAAGGAAAGTGATTCCCCAAAGAAATCTGTGGAGCAAGAAGAAAGATTGATAAATTGGTAAATGTAACCAAATATGGTCAGAATAAAGTAATGTTGTATCGCAAAAAAAACGGAGAAGCCATGCTGGAGGGTCTGTGGACAGAAGGGAACCTTACTTTATTGTTGGTGGGAGTGTAAACTTGTTCAACCACTTTGGAAAGCAGTATGGAGGTTCCTGAAAAGACTTCACATAGAGCTGCCCTATGACCCAGCAATCCCACTTTGGGCCATTTACCCAAATGTTTACAAACAAGACCACACTAAAGCTACTAGCACAACTATGTTTATTGCAGCATTATTTACCATAGCTAAAATATGGAACCAACACAGATGCCCCTCAGTAGATGAATGGATCAAGAAATTGTGGTATATATACACAATGGAATTCTATGCCTCCATCAGAAAGAATGACACTGCCCCATTTGTTAGGAAATGGAAAAACTTGGAAAAAATTATATTAAGTGAAGTAAGCCAGGCCCAAAGAAACATAGGTCCCATGGTTTCCCTTATTTGCAATATCTAGTATATGTATGAGTCAAGCGGAAAAGGTCAGATAATGTGATGTTAGGAAAATGAACCCTTAGATATGTATTTTAATGTTTTTTTTATTTCATGCATTTGTTTCTAATGCATTTATAAGATTATCTCTTTGTTGCTTTGTATGTCCCTCCCCCACAGTATAACCCCTGCTTTCACTATATTTGATGTCAGTATAACTTGTGGAGGAGATGGGGAAAAACAAGGCGTTTAAGGATACAGGTGGACCTGTTGCAACAATGAGAAGTACAAGTTGTCATGTCCATAACGGGGGGGGGGGGGGGGGGGGGGGGGGGGGGGGGGAGGAAGGAGAAGGATTGGGATTGGGGGGGAGGGGGGAGGCTGGGAAGGGATGTGAAGGGTAAACAAAGGAGGAGGCTGCAATGCTTGATAAGAAATGTACACATTATCCTGCCCATGTAATTGTAACCCCTCTGTACAGTATGTTCACAAAAAAAATAAAATTAAATTAAAAAAAAAATAGAGAAGCCACATTTTGAGAGGGTGAATCAGGAGTTTTTACTGGAAAGCTGGCAACTGTAGTAGACTCATATCACAAAGACCTGCAGCCCCTTGAATACACTTAAGACTGTTAGAAAACTGATCTATGCAAAAGATATCCACATATGGCCATATAAGATGATGCTAAGTGAAACAAACCCCACGATATGGACACAAGGCAGTTCTTCTTCCTTGTTGTTTTTAATGTACTATGAGATTGTTTGTTTCCTTTGTATGCTCTTCCCCTTATGGTATATCTCCTGTTGTCACTGTACATGATATTGGTACCCTGTATCTTGTATACACATTTGTCCAATTTGGGGAGGAATAACAAAATGCTGAAACAAGGACACAGGATGACCCATTGTAACAATGTACCCACAAGTCAGTATATTGTAAATAAACTTTACAAGTCAGTATATTGTAAATGAACTTTACAACTTCGGGGTAGGGAGGAGAAGGAGGGAGGTAGAGGAGGAAAGGGATAGTGTGAGAACAAAGGAGGGAGTAACAATTCCTGACAAGAAATGTACTCATTACCTTACTCATGTAACTGTAACCCCTCTGTAAAGCATCTTTACAATAAAATTATTTTTTAAAAAAAGAAAACTGAGCTATGAGAGTGAGAGAGGAAAGAAAGAGCAGAAAAATAATACCAACACACCAGATCAGCTCCATGGAGAGCTGAAGTTGGACTCCATGGTGACCAGAGGAGCGCCAGGAGACATGAGCGATGGAGCCCTGCATACAGTCAGAGTCAGGGGGGAAGGGTCACAGGAATGTGGAGAGTCTCACAAGTTCATGGCACAAGTCCAGTACCAAGTCCCCACTCCTGCCTCTAGGAATTCAGTGGAACAAAATGGTACCAGTGAGACTCAATTCCCTATCATCCATCACATGGCCAAGATACCTCTGGTTAGACCCAGTATCCTTATTTCAGTAATAGTAGTAGCTTTTAATTTAGAGTTAAAAGAGGCTAGAATAATAGAATGTAATTTAGAATTGACAGCTCAAACTCTACAAGGGATCTTATATATTTTAGCTGAGAATAACAAGTGATATATTTTACCAAATAGTAGACTATCAAAGGTAATAATCAAAAGATTAAACTGATATATAAACTGGTATATATTACTATATAGCCAATCAAAAGGAAAACATGAAGAATAAAATAAATAAACCATTTCCATGGATCCTAAAGAAATCAAGAAGGGAAAATAAAATAGTAAAAGTGAGAAAGTAATGCTAAACACAATGGAAGAAATAAGTCACAGTATACTTATAACCACAGTGCTTTTAGTTATTTCCACGGGAAAGAATGCTTAGGGCTGGGCTGGGAAGGTGGCTCAGTGGTAGAGCGCTTGCCTTGCATGCCTGAGGCCCTGGGTTCGATTGCTCAGCACCACATAAGCAGAAAGAAAAAAGCTGGCAGTGGTGCTGTGGCTCAAGTGGTAGAGAGCTAGCCTTGAGCTGAAGAGCTGAGGCACAGCGCCCAGGCCCAGAGTTCAGGCCCCACGACCGGACCCCCCCCCCCAAAAAAAAAAAAAGAATGTGTAGGACATAATATCCCAACCTATGACTTTTGGCATGTTGGGTAATTTGACCAGAAGGAGATTGGAAGGATCCCCGAAGTAAGGATATTTTGATCTCTACTTGTCTTTCTATAGTTACTTTCAAATATAAATATCTACTACTTCTGTTCATTCCTGTCTGGAAGAAGTGAATCACTAAGTCCAGTCTACTGTCAAGGGAAAGAGGCCACATAAAAGTATTAAAAATAGAAGGTAAGGATCATTGAGAATATGCTTTGAGGTTGCCCACACAGGTAATAATCACAAAACAGAAAGTTTGGGTTGCAGAGAAGCAAAATTACATGAAATTAACAGGAGTTTTATTCACATTTCTTATATCGCCAGGAATGTTGAGGATTTCTATATGTATTGTTTTTCCTTTTTACCATTTGTATTTCTTTTGAGAATTGTCTGTGTACCTCGTCTGTCCATTTATTAATTGGGTTGTTGATTCTTTGGGAGTTTAGTTTTGAGGCTCCTTGTATGTACCAGTTATTTGTCCCTTATCAGATGTACCATGAATTTTCCCCCATTCTTTAGGTTGTGTCTTCTTCTAGCTAATCACTAATAGTCACTAATATGCTCTGCTGAAGCTTTTTAGCTTGACAGTCCCTTTTGTCAATCCCTTCTCTTATTTGCTGAGCTATTCAGAAGTTTTTGCCTATGCCTATATGTTCCAGGGAATGCCCTTTCTCTCCTCACCCACCTTTTGTATTGTTTCACTTATCACCTGTCTGTCCAGGTATGTGCATCCTCACTCTTCTTCACCCAAGTCCCTGGTGTGCAGTTACACTTGCTTTCACGCACAAGTCTGGATCAAGTGGGAGGCACAGTTGTTCACTACCATAGAGGTTTTTGCCCTAGGCAAAGGGATACAGACAATTTGTTCCTGTTATTCCCTTGGCCTCACCTGGCCCTTCTGCCTTGGTGAGGTTGTTTTGTTCACCTGGTGGCACACATGGGTAGCTCTTGCCAGAAACAGATCAACTCCAACCTTTTAGTTTTTGCCAGGCAGTTTCAGACCATGGAAGAAGGCAACATTTTCTTTTTTTTTAATAAGTTTTTTATTGTGAGAATATTGTACACAGGAGGGGTTACAGTTACATGAGCAAGGTAATGAGTACATTTCTTATCAAGCATTGTTGTCTCTTCCTTTGCTTTTCCCCTACCATCCCTTCCCTCCCATCTCTACAAATATACTCCTCCCTCCCAGCGCCCCACCTAAATTGTAAATGCCTCCATCAGAAAGAATAACATTACCCCATTTGTTAGAAAATGGAAAGACTTGGAAAAAATTATATTAAGTGAAGTAAGCCAGGCCCAAAGAAACATGGGTCCCATAGTTTCCTTTATTTGCAATAACTAGTATATGTCTGAGACAGGCAGAAAAGGTCAGATAAGATGATGTTAGGTGAAATGAATCCCAAGATAAGGACACGTGTTTTTTTTCTTGCTTGCTATTATTTCTAACATATTTATAAGGTGATTTTTGTTGTTGTTGCTTTGTATGTCCCTCCCCCACAGTATAACCCCTGTTTTCACTGTATTTGATGTTGATATAATTTGGGAAGGGGAAGGAAAACGACAAATTGTTTAAACAGGGATACAGGTTGACCCATTGCAACAATGAGATGTACACAACGCTATGTCGAAAAACATTTTCTATAATGTTGCTCACCTCTGAAGTTCTAGCTACTCAGGAGGCTAAGATCTGAGGGTTAAGGTTCTTTCTAAGCAAGTCCAGGCAGAAAAGTTCACAAGGCTGTTAAATCCAATAAGCCAAAAGAATTGCTGGAAGTGTGGCTCAAGTGATAGAATGCTAGTCAGGAGAATCAGCCAAATAAGAAAACTCAGCACACAAGGCCTTGAGTTCAAGCACCAATTAAGCTGCGTACTAAGGCTATGAGTTCAAACAGAGTTTTGATTTGTCACCTGGCACCACTCTTTTTCTTAGCTTCTCAATCATCCTCTGGAAAGAAAGCATTCTCGAGTAACATCATTAAAATAGTTGTGATAAAGCACAGTTAGTATTATGCATTATAAAGCTGATGCATCACAGAGATATGATACAGTATGGAACTACAGCTATAATATTTGACTTCAATAAAGACAAACCTTGATTTTGTTTTCATTTGTTAATTCAATCAATGGTCAGTATATCTTTAGATATTCTTAATAGAGCGTCATTTTCATCAGTCAGCATGCATTGAACTAATAAACTGACATGTTGAATTGAAGTCCTTTCATACAACTACTTAGAGACAACACTAAGAAAACATTATATCAATTTCAACTCAAATAAGAGCTTTGTGGAACTTAAACTATTTTATTTCTACTTAAAACTCTGACACTTTAAATTTTCTTTTCTGACAGCCTTATAAGTATAATAAAGAATTCACATTATAAAATAATGGATAGCAATCATTTTAATTAATCTCAGTGTGGCCCTTCAAAAGAACACAGGGCCTAATTAGCTGCAATCTCCTAGGCATATTTTTAGAAGGAGTGCTTTGTGGGACCTTATACACTGGTTATCAGCTTTGTTTTAAGCATGCTTGTCATACTGTTCCCTGAGGGTGGGCAGCAGCCTACCAACTTCCTCCAGGTCATCTGGGTGGTGCTCAGTAAAAAGGAGTGAGTGGTCAAGCCTGTAATCTGCCGGCCCTCTCAGGTTCTAAATGTGGTGTGCATTTTAGTGGGACCTAAATATTTGTTCACATGGAAAATAATAACTGTTTAAAATAAGTAAAAGTAGGACTTTGCCATTTACTGCTTAACTGCTTAGAAGATTTGTTCATCCAAGTTGTGCTGATGGGTATTGTTCTTGAATCTTAGAATGCTTAGAATCATTCTTTTCTAATACACATTTAAGAAAGGAAGCTTTGGAAATATACTGTGTGCCCCAGGATTTTATCATTAGCTATAAACTTCCTTTTGTCTTTTCTGGTCCTTTGCTCTTCTTGATTCCATCACATAGCTCTAGGAAAATCCCATTGTTGCTCAACAAGATGACTTACAACCCTCAAAATGAGTGATTTAGAGTTTACACTCTGGTGCTATGAATTTCCATTTCCTATAGTTACTTTTGCTTTGATTTGGAGAAGAAAAAGTGCCTGAAGCAAATGAGCAATTTTTCTCTCTGAAAGATTTCTTATCAAGTTCTGGATCTGCCTTGAGGTTGTTTTTTCCCCCATTTGGATAAAATCAGCCACCCTCAAGTCTTCTAGGTAGACCACTCACTACTGGAAATGAAATGGTTAGACTTGAGATACTGTTTAATTTGGTTCATCTGCAATGGTGCAGTAGGGCTATGTTATTTTGCCATTTTATTAATTCTGCAATATGGGAGATAGGTTTCAGATCAAATCCAATGAAAAATTTGATTATTAACACCAGAATGGATTCTACAATATATTCTGCCCAGTCCTACAGCACACAAATATGTCAATCAGAAGAGAGAGTGCATAGTAGTGAAGATGTGCCCAAGGGCAGTCAGGTAAAGGGTGAAGTAGCTCTCACTAACTTTTACTATTTAACCCTATTAGCAGAGGATGTAAGGTCAAAGTCTTCCATAGAAATGATTGGTTCTTCAAACTAAGGACACAACTTTGGGTCATGGAAAAGGCAGAACCTAAACATTTCCTTTGATTAATCAAAGCCTTGGACCAAGACATTAGGCAATGGTAATCAAAATAATCAGTTTATACCATGAAACTTATTTTTTTATTAATAAGGTTTTTTTATTGTGAAAATACCATACAGAGGGGTTACAATTACATGAGCAAGGTAATGAGTACATTTCTTATAAAGCATTGTTGCCTCCTCCTTTGTTTCCCCTTTGTTTCTCCTCCTTTGTTGCCCTCCCATCATTCCCCCCACCCCAAAAACCATACTAAAGCTACTAGCACAACTATGTTTATTGCAGCATTATTTACCATAGCTAAAATATGGAACCAACCCAGATGCCCCTCAGTAGATGAATGGATCAAGAAAATGTGGTATATATACACAATGGAATTCTATGCCTCCATCAGAAAGAATGACATTGCCCCATTTGTTAGGAAATGGAAAGACTTGGAAAAAATTATATTAAGTGAAATAAGCCAGGCCTAAAGAAACATAGGTCCCATGGTTTCCCTTATTTGCAATTAACTAGTATATGTCTAAGAC